TATCTCAGGTTGTTAATGATTCTTCCTCCAATCCTGATACCACGTTTTTCTTCACATAGTCCAGCTTCTCGGATTATTTGCTCAGCATATAGATTGTATAAGTGTGGAGAAAGGATACAATCCTGACGCACTCCCTTCTTGATTTTAAACCATGTAGTGTCATATAGTGCCTGTAACCCTGGGGCTGACTGCTCTTTTGTCCGGGTTCAAGGTTTTTATCCACTTTCTCTTGTTCTTCTGGCCTGCTACTCTGGGCGGGCCTGAGTTTCCCCTTCTCACCTAATCCCTTCGGCTGACTGCTCTTCTCTCTGGCTTCCTGGATTTTGTTTGGTGTTTCATTTATTTCTCCTTAAATCTTTATTGTTTTTTTTCTTCTGGTGACTGTAGGCTTTTTTGGTGATCTTTTTCTAATATTTGGAGATGTTAAATTATTGATTCTGAATCTTTCTTGTTATAAATTGTCCTCTGAGCACTACTTTGCTGTGTCCCAAATATTTTTTATGTTGTGTTCTCATTTGATTCAAGGAATTTTTAAATTTCCTTTTTTATTTCCTTTGTTATCCAGTAGTTTTTAAGCAGGGTATTATTCAGTGTCCATGTATTTGACTTTTCATATGATCTTCCTGTTGTTGATTTCTAATTTTATAGCGTTATGATCTAAGAAGATGCTCTGTAGTATTTTAATGTTTTAAAATTTATTGAGGTTTGCTTTGTGGCCTAACATATGGTCTATTCTGGAGAAAGTCCCATGTACAGAGGAAAATAACGTATATTGTGGTCTTCTTGGATAGAGTGTTCTGTAAACATCTATGTGGTTTATTTGGTTGAATGTATCTTTGTTAAGATCCTTTCTAGTTGTTCCGGCCTTCATTTAAAGTGGTGTATTAAAGTCTCCTATTATTATTGTGAAATTGTCTATTTCTCCTTTCAAGTCTGTTAAAGTTTGGGGCTTTTTCATTGGGTGTGTAGATATTTATTTTGGTTATGTCCACTTGTTTGATTGACCCTTTAAGAATTGTTTAGTGTCCTTCCTTGTCTCTGTTGCTGACTTTTGCTTTAATGTCTATTTTATCAGAAATTAATATTTCAACTCGTGCTCTTTTTTGGTTGCCATTTGCTTGATATATTTTTCCAACCTTTGATGTTTTAGTTTATTTTTGTCTTTGTGTCTAAGGTGTGTCTCTTGTAGACAGCATATTGATGGGTCATTTTTTTTTTTAAGCATTCTACTACTCTCTGTCTCTTGTGCATTTAATTCCTTTACATTCAACATAATTGTTGACAGGTATGAATTTACTGCTATTATTGTGCTGTGTATTTTTGTGTCCTGTTGGTCTCTTTGTCTCATATATTTTTCTGTGCTGAGCTCATTTTGTTTATGGTTTTTATTTTTTTAATTGTTGCATGCAGAATGATATTTTATATTTTTACTTTTCAATTGAGGTAGCTTCCTTTTGCTTCCCCCATGAACCGGTCTAAACCATGCTCTTACTCTGTAAATTATTTTCTTACTCACTCTTAGCAAATAGAAACCTACAGATGTGAACAGCATCAACCTCCTTTTTTCCTCTGTATAAATTTATCTATCAAAACCTTGGTGGCAATGTTAAGCACTAGATTGCTAAACTGAAGATTGGAGGTGTGAATCCACCCACGAGTCCCCCAGAAATTAAGCCTAGTAATCTGCTTCCAAAAGGTCATAACCATGGGAATGCTATGGAACAGTTCTACTCTGCAACATATGGGGTCAGTGTAAGTTGGAATTGACTCTACAGCAACTGGTTTGGTTGGTTTTGGGTTTGAACTTATTTATAATGGCCATTGTTCTACCTCTCTTAGCTTCCATCCCAGGAAAAGATGAGATGCCCTTTCTCTCTGAGACTAGCACCCATTTTCCTGTTGTTGTTGTTATGTGCTGTCAAGTTGCACCTGACTCATAGCAACCCCTCCTTGGGTTTCTGAGGTAGTATCAAGGGAGCACTTTTTATCTCTTCTACAAAATTTTAAAACTTTATCAATCATCTTTGTCCCCTCTGGTTTCTTCCACAAAAACTCATTTCTTTCATTCTAAAACTAAGCTAAACTAGAAATCCAATTTTTTTTTTTTTTTTTTTTTTTAAGGCATCTACTTCTTTTGCCTACCCTGCCAGTCTATGCACAGCCTCTGCTTCAAGTGGTTGCCATGAACTGCCAGTCCATCAGAATGGCTTTTCCTTCTACTACTCGTTAAAACTGCTGCTGCCAAATAGGAGTTTTAAGTTGTCCTAATGACAAGATCCACTCACCTCATTGTTTCAAGTATCCTACTATGTGTCAAGAGCCATTGCTTTGACTTCAAAAGTCGGGTATCTGGTTCTACTTGTCTGTTCTCCTGCATCCAAATGTTAAATTTTACTGTTGTATATGGTTGTCTTTTTTTCCCGCCCCCCCCCCAGCCCCACATCATGTAATCTTCCTTTGTTATGTGATGTATTTCTGAGTCCAAACACCAGGCCAAAGACACGCAGTATAGAAGTATTTTGGAGAATGTTTCTACTCATGGCAATGCACATGTTAAAAAAATCACAATAAATCATTGAATATATTATTCCTTTAAAAATAAATTTACCTCAATGTGTAAATCTTACGTGTGAAGCTCATTACAGGCAGTCCCTAGGTTGCAAATGTCTGACTTAATTGATAACTCATACTTGCTCTTTAATATTATGTAAATCTGCCCTGACTTTGAAATGATTGAACCAACCCCTACTTGCAACAAATTCTTCCTCATAATCAACTTCACTTGTTGCACATGCAGCTTTTAAATCAGTGAAAAGGTTTGAGCCTTTTCTTGTATTACCCCACTGCTGTGGAGTAGAATTGACTTAATAGCAACCTGATAGGGCAGAGTAGAACTGCCCGACAGGATTTCCAAGTCTGTAAATCTTTATGGAAGCAGACTGCCATATTTTTTTTCCCTGGAGTGTCTGGTGGGTTTGAACTGCTGACCTTTCTGTTAGCAGCCAAACACTTAACCTGTGCCACCTGGGCTCCTTTCTTATACTAAAGAAAGGCTAAATAAGAACCTATTCTTACCTATAAATTTAACTTAAAGACACACTTAAGAATAGATCCTATTTGTGATCTGGGGGCTGCTTGTATAAATAAGAATGTTTTATTATTTATTTATTTGTGTGTGGGAAGGAGTAGGAAAAAAAATTTTTCTTTTTACTAATTTGGCATGGAACAAAGTAATCTATTACTAGTTTGAATTTAGATGGTGGGTATGGAACAAAGTACCTGAATTTTTAGAAGAAATCTGACATTTTCTCAGTTCAGCTCTGTTTTGGACAAATTACTTTTATTAATAGAAAATTTGAAGAAAGACAACATCATGGAATGAATTATGCCCCCCCCCCCCAATATGTGTCAGCTTGGCTAGGCCATGCCAGCATTTTATGGTTGTCCTCCATTTTGTGACATGTGTTATAAATCCTGACTTCTGTATGTTAACGAGGCAGGATTAGGATGGGTTGTATCCTAAGTCCCACCCTTACTGAAATTCTCAAGTCACATCCTTACTTAAGTGGTGAACTTTACTCAAGTCACATCTTTGCTTGAGTCACATCTTTCATCTTACAAGAAATAAAAGGAGAGAGAAGCAAGCAGGGAGAAGGGACCCGACTACACCCAGGAAAGAAAAGCTGGGTGCAGACTGCATCTTTTGGATTCCATGTTCCTGTGCTGAAAACCTCCTGGATCCAGGGGAAGACTGATGCCAAGGCACAAGGAGATCTCCAAGGAATACTGGGCCCACAGATTTTGAAAGGATACCAGGACTTTCCCCCAGAGCTAACAGAGAAAGAAAGCCTTCCGCCTAGAGGTGGTGCCCTGAATGCAGACTTCTCCTAAACTATGAGAGAATAAATTTGTTTGTCAAAGCCACCCACTTTTGGTATTTTGGTTATAGCAGCACTAGATAACTGAGACAGGCAATACTATGGAATTTTTAAACACTAGCTGGGGAAAGCAAAGCCTACAGCTATGTAAAGGAAATAGGTTAGTTATTAACAATATTAAAACAAATACTACTTGTTTTACTTTACTCTTTCTTAGAAAAATCATTGAAGATTAAAGATTTTAAGTAACTTTATTTTCCAAAACTCCATCCTACAAATAGGTTTTCTTCTACATCTTCACTTCTTTTAAAATGAATATAAACAAAGAGAAAAGTGTATCTGAAACAGGTTTAAAGTCAGCTGAACTCAACTTTTAAAGAGTTAAGATCAGCAAAGAGAAGTTCCGCACTTGCCCGCTGCCTAGCGTTGGCTCTCCAGCAGCATTTGATGATGTTCTCAAGTCTTTGGCCCAGGGCAGAGTCCCTGAAGACAGCCGCTGAGAGAGATGGACGAAGACCATGGGCCACAACAGCATAGAGCACATACTGTCGCTCCCCGGAGTAAGGCACCTCCTTGGTTGTCATCTGCCAGAGAGTTATGGCAAAAGAATAGATGTCAGCTTTGGGAGTTATAGTCTCTCCTTTCAGGAGTTCTGGGGCTAGATGAGTGTAGGTGCCTCCTAAGTGATGAGAAGCCTGGAAGCCCAGCAGATCTTCCAGCTTCTCCGAGCAACCAAAGTCCCCAATTTTGCAGACATCCTGCTCACTGATCAATATGTTCGCTGGTTTCAGGTCCAAGTGAACAATGTTTTGTGAGTGAAGGAACATCAGGCCCTTCACAACATCAAGGGAATATTTCAGACACTTTTCCAAACTTAATTGCCCTCCAGCAGAGCAGAGAGACTCCCCCTGTTCCTCTGGGTAGCCCGTAGACCCGTATATGACTTGGTGTAAAGTGGTGTTGCCTCCGAACTCCATGACGATGGTACCCAGGCTATTAGAGCCCGCGGGCGTGAGTGTACTGGCGGCCACTACCCGTACGATGTTGTCGTGGCGGAGCCTGGCTATGTTGAGCTCAGCCCAGAAGCTTCGCTGTGACGCCAGTCGGTTCTTGGTGCTCTTGTTCACTTGTTTTATGGCCACTGGAAGCCCGCGGTAAGTGGCCTTGTAGACCGAGCCAAAGCCTCCAGCCCCCAGCCTTTGAAGAAAGCGCACCTGTTCCCAGTCAATGGAGCACCAGGCCAGGCGGCGTGGCAGCCGAGGTGCCCTGGGAGGGGTGCCGCCTAAGACACGCTGACCCCGCTGACCTGGGCGTTCGCAGGGGCTGCTGCAAGGCCGCGAATCCCCCTCGGGGGACAACTCGCCCTGCTGGAGACTGCGCACAGGCAGAGGAGAGGGCATAGCACTCTCAACTTGGAGCGGATTCTCAGCGAAAGGAAAAAGAAAAACTGAGCGCGTTCCGAAGCATGACTGACAGCTTTTCGCCCACTGCAGCCTTTTTACCCTCTCCAAACGAGCCACATCTGGGATGCTACTAACCAAAGACTTTTATCAGACTGAGGGGTTGGGGGTGGGGAGGCGTGAAGGAAGCATAGCAATCGCTTTCAGATGCAAGCATTTCCCCTAAACAGAAGATTGTTAGAAAAACAAGCGCTCGCCACTTAGAGTTCGCAGTCTAAACAGCACTGCGCTGCCATCTAAACTCACCTCTCTTTGACACTATTTCTTTAATTATAGAAAAACGGGCTTTTTGCAAGTCTCCTCCGTTGAACATTATCGGTTCTAAAGAGACCGCAAAAATAAAACGGAATGATTTCACACTTTGCCGGCTTACAACTGTTGTCAGTGCTACTCTCCAGCTGCGGTAAATAACTTCCAGCAGTTACTGGCAGAAAGAGTTGAAGCAAAAACAACAGACATTTGTTTAACTAAATATGGGGGGAATTAGGTGCAATATTCGTAGGGATTAAAAAAAAAATGTAACCTTAAAGTAATCGATTCAAGAAGAATCACTGAGACTGGTCAAAACATCTCCGGAGATGGTGGGGGAAAGGGAAATGCTCTGACAGTCTATTCAGTTTATATAGCAAATTAGCAAGACCTCTTATCAACACACCGACTTCCTACCAATCGTTCCTTTCCCCCTGCACTTCGACTTCCTACCAATCGTTCCTTTCCCCCTGCACTTCGGCCCACCCAGTTGGCTTACTTGCAGGAGAAATTCTAGACTTCCCAGCAAATGAGTTACAGAAGTTCTGAAGCAGAGATGGGGGTGGGGATGGAGAACAACAACTAAAATTTCTGAGTCATGATGAGAGCTTCAACTTAATAACAAATATGGGTGAATTGTAGAAGAGGAAATATTTGAGGAAATTGAACGTCACAGATTCACTGGTGCCTATAATAAAACCAGAAGTTGAAATTAAAATTCAGGGGCTTGCCATCCAACCATAAATTCATTTCTAATTTTTATAATAAAAAGATTATTTTCACACCATTATCTTTGGAAAGCTAACCTAATCCCTTCTGACTCTAGGTGATATCACGCATTTCAGAGTAGAACTGCACTCCACAGGGATTTCAAGGCTGTCACTTTCTGAAAGCAGATCACCCGGCCTGTCTTCCAAGGTGTTCTAGGTGGATTTGAACTGCCAATCTTTTAGTTAGGAAATCTTACCATTTATACCACCCAGGGACTCCATCTTTGGGAAAAAAAAAATAACAGTATCACTCTGTTCATTAAAACACACCCAAGAATGTTGGGATCTATTTTTTAAAAATCAAATGGCAAAATTTCATTTTGACTTACTGTACTCAGAGCACAGAGTGGTGTGTAACCATACGTTTATGATAGCTTCTGTGTTTCTGACATATATTGGTTCTGAAAAGATGTCTTAATAAACAAAAGTTACTTATTTACATAAGCAATTTGAGGTTTCTTGAGCCCAAAATAGGGTTCCTATTCTGTGCTGCTCCTCTAGATTAGTATGTAATCTTGGATATAATATTTAATGTTTTTTTCATGTAAGAAAGGGTAATAGTCGTTATTAAAATATACATTGTTGTTTCATGATACAAATATTATTATTTTGGAATAAAAGTTGGCAAATCTTATCCAGATTATGAACAAAAAAAAAATCTAAAAATTTAAACTATAGAACATTTTAGTAGAAATGCAGTTGTACACAATTATACTAAGCCCCAAGTAAACAAGATGACAATGAATAGAATAAAATGAAAAACTCATAAAATTATATTCCATGAGTCTATATTGCAAAATTTACTCAATAGCTATGACATAGTTGAATTTATAATGATTATTGACATAGTGCCTAAGGCATTTGACTGCTAACCAGAAGGCTGGGGATTTAAACCCTCCAGGCACTCCTCAGAAGGAAGAGTGGGCACTCTACTTCCTAAGAGATATCGCCTGAGAAACCCAAGGAGGGGTTGCTAGGAGTCGAATGGACTTGGCAGCAGTGAGTTTTTTTATGCTGTGTATTACCAGGAGTGCTGTAATATTGGAAGAATTAAAGCAATAGGTTGCTGTAATCAAATGGGTATTACACAGAATGCAAGATGATGTGATTTGGTTTCATATAATCTTTATTTTAAAAATAATAACAGTTTTTTCACAGTTTAAATTTTTATTTTTTACATAAAATATGAAGTATTGATGAAAATCAATATGCTTACAAACCACGAACTCAAACTGTCTGAGAATATTTAATTGAATATTCATTGTAAAAAGTCTTTGTTTTCCTTTTTCGGCATCTTAAAATGTTTCATTCTCAGCAAACTGCAATCACCTTGAGTGTAGGCTCTAAGTCCCCTATTTATCTTTTTCTTCCTTGTGAGTAGCACAGTGACTAGCATCTTGTTGCTATTAGTTGCTGTGGAGTCAATTTCCATTCATGGCGACCCTAAGTATGCAGAGTAATACTGCTCCATAGGGTTGTCAAGGCTCTGACCTTTTGGAAGCAGATAGTCAGGCCTGTCTTCTGAGGTGCCTCTGGTTAGGTTCCAACAGCCAACTTTTTGGCCAGTAGTTGAGCCACCAAGGCACTCCATCAAACCAAAGCCAAACTCAACTGCAGATGAGTCCATTATGACTCATAGCGATGCCTCCTTGGGTTTCCAAGGCAGTATCTCTATGGAAGTAAATTGCCCAGTCTTCTTTCCAAGGAGTGGCTGGTGGGTTTGAATTGCTAACCTTCTGGTTAGCAGTTAAATGCCTTAGGCACTACACCACCAGAGCTCCCAAGGGACTTCATAGCACACAGTAAATTCTTAAGTTCTTGCTTAAATTTAATTTTTAATTCTAAATTTGTAACCATGTATGTATGTACTATGTAATATTTTGGATCTCAGAAATGGACAAAGCCTAGCATGGTGGCAAAGAGCAAAGGTTCTAAGACCAGATGGCCTGGGTATCTTGTTGTCTCTGTGCCTCAGTTTCCTCATCTGCAAAATGAGGAAAATATTAGGTAATCAGGAGTGACTGAGGTAATCAGAATTAATGTAACAATTAACTGAATTTCAAATATTTAGATCAGGCCTTAGCTTATAGTAAGTAATATGTAAATATTAGTTATCATTATTCATTAAACTCATAAAAAACAATGTATATGGGTTTATATAAATAAGAAATACAATTGTTAGACAGTTGTTGTTGTTGTTGTTATGTGCTGTTGAGTCAGCTCTGACTCATAGCGACCCCTCCTTGGGTTTCCGAGGCAGTATCATTGCAGAAGTAGGATTGCCCAACCTTCCTTCCAAGGAGTGGCTGGTGGGTTTGAACCACCAGCCTTCTGTAGTGCTCAAAAATGTATCCTGAAATGAATCATTTTACTACAAGTAAAACCAGTTTAAACTTTGAGTGTATCTTTCTGCTTTAAAATTTTATTTCTGAGGTTAAAGATGATATAAAAGCATGTTGCATTATTGTTAGACTAAAAATATTGAGGGTTAACATTAATCTGATCAAATGCAATAACCCTAAATCATACCTAGACAAGGACAGAAGAGCAGAATTTGTTGATAACATCTTCAGTAGCATTACCTACCTGGAATTGTAAATGAAACAAGAGAGACGAAAATAAAGAAACCCTGTAGAGCTATTGCCAAAATGAGACATTTGAAGGCTCCTAGAGGAAAAAGCTCTCCATGCTCTGTTCTTTCATTCAAAGTATACCTATTAGATTTTTCACTATCATGCAAGCAATAGTGTATTTATCACAACATGTTATAATAGATACCAGAATTAATAGCTTATTTAAATACAATTTAAATGAGGAGCAGGAATTGGTTAATGCAAAGCTCTTTCTGGATAACTGTGATAGTTGGAGCTGTGTGTCAACTTGGCTGGACCCCAGTTCTGTGTGGTTGTTCCCATGATGGGATCAGATGACTGAGTTC